TAACCAGCCAAGGTAGTGGCTATTCTGTCCTCCCTTTCTTTGAAGTAAAAGTCAACAGCATCGTTCTTTAAACACACAGGTAGAGAAAGAGGTGCATCCTTTTTGTTGGGCAGATATATTCTAGGTAGGCCCAGCCTGATCAAGAGTGCACCCCACCCAGCTATTGACTAAACTCATGGCAACTCCATGTGTGTCAGGGTAGAACTGTACTCTGTGAGGTTTTCAAAGCTGTGACCTTTCAAAAGTAGGTTGTCAGGCTCTTATTCTGAGGGGCTTCTGAGTGGACTTGAACCTCTAACCTTTGGTTAGCAGCTGAGCAAGTTAACTGTACCACCAGCGCACTCTGATGAAAGGTATAGTGGATCGCTTTCTTTCTTCCTTTAAAAAAAAGAGCCCACAATTTCTCATAACATATTGTGATGTGGGGAGAGGATGGGCCCATATATGAAAGGGACCCTTGGTAACCAGGGAGGCAAGACCGTTGTTTCAGATGTTTAAAGGATTGGTTAGCTTAAGTACTGTAGCTTTCACCAAATTTTGCACAATCCATTATAGCTGGACAGCTATTAATTGTCTACCTGGGAGTCTTCAGGGTCTATCAATTTTTCACACAGATCTTCCAGAGAATTAAATAGGAAAGCCATTTATGGGAAAGCCCTACCCTGGTTAAGAGGACACTGTGATATTGATGACAATTGATCAGTGTACTTCCACTTTCATGCCCAAATGAAGGGGCTTGGGGGAGCAGGGAGTCAGCCCCAGTCACAATCGTTGTAATGAACAGAAATCTTTAATTAAGGGTCTCATTGTAGTAGATACTTACATTCTACAGCTGGCCCTTTCTTCTTTCCTCCCTTACAGGCAACTGCACCATGAATTTTCCTTGAAGACTCCATGCTCAAGTTCATAGAGCTACCACTTCGGCCATCAGGCTTTAGTAGCCGCATGTTATTTTTACTCACCTCATGGACTTCCATTTTCTAACATCATCCAGTTGCTGTGGCTTCTGCATCTGGAGAGTTTATGAAACATTATTTATTCGTCACAATGCACGTGAGAGTGTCACATGGGGAGAAAGAATCATCACCAGCCCGGGCCACGCAAGGCTGACCTCTGTGAGGCAGAGGTCACATATACCTCCAGCCTTCAACCTTTCTATCGTGTCTGACACCAACTGTCTCTCCCACGGCACCGCTCTACCTCTTTGTTGGCTTCAATACATCCGTGCAATTCCCACACCACACTCACGATTATGGGTTTGTTAGGGAGTAACAGCTTACAACTCAGGTTCAGGAATTTTCCGGTGTGGTTATTCGATCAGGGATGCCTGCGGGCCATGTCTCGCTTTGACCCTCAGTTTGTTGGCCTGACCTGTTCTACTTGGCAAGTGTTATAAAGTGTTTTTTTTCAGCTCTGCCAGTTAAGTGCCCATTGGCATTCTACTCGGCCAGTAAGCCTCAGCCTTAAGCTCAGCACGTCTAGCTTCTCCCAGTGAAGAGCTGGGGGTACTCACTCCACAGCAAGCCTCCTGTGCAACCGCAGGCAACTTTCTTGTTCTGCGGTGGGATGTTGGGTGGGGTGAGGGGGTGGGGTGGGGCCGGGAAACCCGCCGCTCTGTCTTTTTTTTTCATGTCCTTTCATTTTATTTATTTATTTTTTAATCAATTTATAAGCTCTTGGTTCTGCTGCCTCTCCCGCTGCTTCTTGCCATCTCTCGCCATCTCCAGCATGGTATCTGACTCCTGGATTTAGGGGGTTCCGGGATCTCAGGTCCAAAGTCACCCTCCACTCCTGGCTCTTTTCTTGATAATAGTGAGAACTTCCTTTCTCGTCTTTGCAATGGCTCATTTTACCCTTGGAGGGATGGCAAAATTGACCAGTCTGCTGGCTAGGATTATTTGCTGGTCCCACCCCTTCCAGGGTACCTCGCCCATTGTTTACATTATTAGCAAGCTATCTAATCCCCTAGTTGGACCACAAGCACTTTACATTTGCATGCCCTTATCCAGTCATTTGGTGTGAGTTATAAAGGCTGTAGCTCTCAGAACCATACTAAGTAATTCATAGCACAGCATTAAGTAGTCTTTGCTTCCCAAAGCACCAGTGCCCAGTAGCACCATTCCTCAAGGCTGGGGATTCTTTCTCATGCCTGCCCAGTACCCACTCCTCCAGCAGTTTATATAGCTATCTACTTCTTCCGTCCTGGGGAAAGCTCAGTTCACCCTGCTCCAGGAGTAGGCCTAATTTGTCAAAAGGTCATTCTCAGCGCTCTCATCAATGATTGGCTAAGAAATTCCAGCTTCAGCCTATGACTCTTCTCTGGCTACAGAAGTGGATTCTACAAAGGTTCTTTAACCCAGTGGGAGGCATGTGGAAATTGGGGTGAGGGGGGCGGGTTGGTTTCTTGGAAATAAATGTCCAAATTTTAAGAGTTTTCATTGGCTGATTTTTTCCGAAGTAGATTGCTGGGCTTTTCTTCTGAGTCCTGAAGATTCCCCTGAAACTTTCCAGTATCACAGCAGCAGGCACTCCTCCAGGGACATTGTGCTCAGGCTGTAATCAAACCCTGGTTTCCAACAAGAAGAGCAAGAAGGCTGCCGCTGAACCATCCATCGCTGCTACCTACCTAGTCTGCAGCACTTCTGTGTAAGTTAAACTTGAGGTCCTGTGGACCATGACAGGATTTCTTCCACAGCTGTTAGTCAATGGCCCACAAAATTTGGCGTCTGAACTGACAATCGGTTTGCTGAGCATCTCTAAAGACAAGGCCTGGAATTTTCCATTCTGATGATAGTACACATTCATGACCTGCCCCATTAGCTGGACGCTTCATGCTAACTCTCTCCTGCTTTACAGCAGCAATTTCTAATCGCCACTCTCCACAAATATTCTCACCTATTTCCAGAGAAAAATCAATACCATCTGGCAGGGGCCCAGCTAATCTTCATTAAAACAAAGGCCTTGCCAGCACCTACTCTAAGCCCTTTCAAAGTTTTTTTTTAAATTGTTTTATTAGGGACTCATACAACTCTTATCACAATCCATACACACATCAATTGTGTAAAGCAAATTTGTACATTCATTGCCCTCATCATTCTCAAAACATTTGCTCTCCACTTAAGCCCCTGGCATCAGGTCCTCATTTTTTCCCCTCCCTCCCC